TAACGATTTTGTGCGTGTTTATTACTTCAATCTTAGAATTATCAGATCAAGAAAACAGAACAGAAAAAAACCCAGTCTGAGAAAAACAGATCCATATTCGGTGTCCCCCGTCCGCCATCGATATGACTTTTTATAGAAAGTGCAACGAATATAACTAATGACTTTTTTTATAATGGACCAAATTCAACAATTTATTGTATGTATTATCATTTTAACGTTAAAAATGATCAGATCAAGAAAACAAATTAAAAGAACTTAAAACATTTTTATGGGCCAAATCTTACGATCTTAAATGATTAAAAAATAATTTAATTTTATTATTAGTTAAAAAAATTAGTTAAATAACGAGTTATATTCGGTACCTTCTGTAAACCACTGATATGACTTTCATAGAACAGGTAACAAAATAACCTAAACCATTTTATGTAAAGGTCACATTAACGATTTATTTGCATGTTTTATTAGAGATTATCAGAGCAAAAGAAAAGGAAAAATATAACAATTAGTTTGAAAATAACGTGTCGAATTGGGTATCTTCTGTCTGCCATGGATATGAGTCACTTTGTAAAATATAAGACATATCAAGTACTGAAAGTCATATCCGCGGATATGAGTCATATCCGGTATTAAGTCATTTCCATGTTTGATAAAGAAAACACTGCAGGACTGGTGTCGACATAGTCGATGAATTTTGATTTATCATGTTTAAACATGTGAATTCTGATGATGTGTTTGAAACTTAAAGTGACAATATGCATATTTTTCACTATCAAGCCGGTATAAGTAAGTTGTATATTTCAAAAGATTAACTATTTTAATGGCTATTGAAAAATCATTGATAATCAGATAATAAACAAATGTTTAGAATAAATTATAAAAAAACTACCCAAATATCTCTAAATTTATGAAATGACAGGTAGTTTTTAATCAGAATATTTACAGAACTTTTTTTGTGGTGAGTAACGAGGTTATACTTTACTCAGGTGCCATTTATTCTAAAAATGAAAACAAGGACTTGACAAAATGTAAAGTTATTACTGTTGTAAAACTGAAAAATTGTCTGACACTGACAGGAAATTAAACACGTAACTCTCAACTACAAGAAAGATACTCAACAATGTTGCTAAAGGGAAAAGGCTGTTGGAAATGTCCTGTATTAAATAGATAACAACTGTGGCATTTTAGAGTTCCCTAATAAGTTTTAACTGTTTTATATACCTTTCTCTTCATGTTTAAAATAATTTTGTAATATAAAATGATGTTTTTTTATATTTATCTCTTGGGTGAATAATATCTTCAGACTCTAACAAAACTTTAACACAAAGCAAGTGTTAAATTGCAGACAGGATGGATTTTTTGAACAACCAACAATACACAATGTACAAAATGAGAATTAATGACAAAGTCAAGCCTGTCATTTTCATTCAAGGCAGATGTCAGCGTTGACTTCTATTAACCATTTCCTTGCAAACTATTTCAAAGTTACTTGATTTTCTTCATATCTTGACAAAACCATCTTTCATTTTTAAGAAAATTTCAAAAAGTGTAGACTAAAACGTGAACAATGCAGAACATGAAAACAATCGGGCAGCATAGATATGCCTACTGATTTTGGACTTCAAAAGTTAATAAAATTTTACAAAATGGGTAAACTTGTGGTTTAATAGAAATAAAATGTATATATATATAATTATATAATTGCCATTGCTTCTGTTTATTAAGGGATACTGACATACAATATGAAGATAAGTTCAAACATGTGTTCAAAAGGGTTAGAAAGCATCGGTCAAACCTTTGCTAGCAACAGCTAGTCCAGTGGTTTGTGCCGATTTCAGCGTTTACTAGGTTAGAAATAGCACTGTTGAACTCCAAGACAGAGAACATTAAGTTATCAGTGATCAAAGAGCAACTGGTAGCCTTTAGAAAGTGGGTAGTAAATTTGATGAACAACAATTAAAGAAACTGCACGAATGTGTACATGCATTTACTGTAGGAGAAATCAGGTTAGCTTGACCTTGTGGTTTATTTTAAAAATGAAATGTTGGAAGAAGAATTGTTTGAAATACATGAAAGGTCAAATCAAGTATCCCGTCAACAACCAAGAGCCCCACAGCAGTCTATAAATCGCCATCGCTACAGAAATGTTTGTTTTAATTGGGCTAATTATTGGATATTTAAAAAAATTCATAACTGAAGTACAAGTGTAACTTAAGACTGAACATGCTAACATTTTGGTGCGTCCAATGTGACTATTCGTTGTAAGCTAGTCATAGATTGGCTGAAGTGTAGACATGGATTTCCTTGTCTAAAAAAAGAAAGATCTTTCTGAACATTTAAGTTTAGCAGACGTAAGAAATAAACGGCATGTATTTTTATACCGTTAAAAGTAGATATTTCTTCAGTCCAATTTGGAGTACAGCCTTTTCAAGGTTTATCTTCAGTATTTTTAATTTTCCGTATACATGTATATTAAAATAAACTTGACCTTTTTTTCAATTTAACTTCCTTATTTAAGAGTCATTTTTATACTTTGTATGATTTCTTTATTTTTCTAACATTTTTGATAACCTATTGATATGACTTTTGCTGTGAAATATTTCCAAATAATTCTTATTAGTATTCTATTAAATCTTTCTATTATTACAGCCTTTGTTAAATGTGTGATACATAGTGATGTTATTTTGATGCGAAAATGTTTTAAGGTTTATTATAATATTCTTTTCTTTCATCCCCGACAAATTTTGTGGAATTTATCCTTCAGAAATCATTTTATCAAAAGCTTCCGATACAAAGGAATTGCCAAGCTGCAGTAACAGGGTCATCGGTTTTATTCTTTAAAGGAATAGCGGAAGCGTATTTGCTAAGTATTTCAATAATAGTCAATACGTATTTAAACCTTAATTTTCTTTAGAAAAAGCTTGCATATCAACTAAATCAGCAGACCATGAGTTATCAATTTCATTGACTATAACTCTCCGCTTTAAAAATTTCCGTTTAATTGGTGTGTATTAGTCTACGTCCAATGTATCCATCTATCTTTTATCGGGGTTTAGACTCCCCTTTCCGTTTTTTTTAAATTTAACCTAGCCAATTTTATATTTCATATTAATTGCCGGTCGTACTTTTAGATTTTAAGCTTTCTTTTCCTCTGATAGAATTAAATTTTTAAGTTTTTATATAAGAATTACCTGCTTTTCACAATTATGCTTGCCAGAATCATAACAATAATCAAGATTCATACATATCGCATCTAATTTATTGACAGGCGGGCCGTTATCTAATGGATTACCGGTCCGCAATATTTATAGCAATCAAGAGTTAAAACGTTTTAAATAATAACGAAATCATTGTTTATGAATACCAAATCCACTTCCTGCACTTTTAGAAATATATTCTGTCAATAAAAAAGTAGGTTTTATATGGTACGGTGTTAATTCAAGGCAAATTTAAAGTTCTAAACAAGTTTGGTAGTTTTATTAATTGTTTACAGTGGTTCAAGTTTTTAATCAGTATATGGTCAAATAATCGACGGTCAATAGGTCAAAGGTTTAAAGGTCAGTCGTCAAAAAGTCATTTAACCCTCACAATATATATTACAACTATTAACAAGACAAGACTTAAAGATACCAAATATTTTGTATAAAATACTCGTTAATTAATTAATCATCTGCGCGTGATTTGTGAGCTTTTAATACGAAAATTGCAAGCTCAGCAACTGTAAAAGGACAATATTGTTCAGTGGCCTAATATGAAACATCGTGTAAAACGTTATCATTAAAAATTCATCCGATTCTTAATCATTCCAAATCATTTAAAGAAACAAGTCTATCCTCCATCGACAAAGTAATATATTTTATTGCAAGAAATGTTACGGCTTAGAACCTCGTGTTTTTTTCTTCAATTTGACATCATTAACCTGCTTTGAGCGCACGCCTTTCTTTCAATTGATCGTTTATATTTTTTTTCCTTTTTCGAACACAGTTTACCCGAAATTGCTCAATGTGATTAATAGGCATAACGAGCATTGTGGCAGTCCAGCTCAAACCCAACCTGATTAAAATCAGCTCTAAATAACGCTCCGCTTTTAGATCTGACCGTGACCAAATAAGAAAACGTTGTCAGTGACCTTTCACACAGCCATTAATCGGCGAATTCTAATAATTTTGAAAGCGATGTGGTTTCTAATTTTAACCCTGGGAAAACCAATACTGAGTAGGTATTTTTCACGATGTCGAGAAAAAGTATGGCGTTGTCCATATAGCCGACAGGTAAACTGGTAAAACAATCTTGTCCATTAAAAATTGACTCTATAGTTTCAAGTTAATTTGTTAAAAATTACTTCAAACATTTTTTTCTAACAAAAATCAATAATTTGTTTAACTTCAACTGATAGCGGTATTTTGATTCTTCTTCTAATACTTATATAAAAACCGGTTTGATTGCATGGCTAATTCTATCTTTAGGACTGTTGTAGAGGATTAACACTGTTCCTGAATAAATGAAAAGGGTCTTACATATGTACATAAAGAGGACTAGTTTCCTTAACAATTGAAATGAGCCGCGTCACGACAAAACCAACATAATGGGTTTGCGACCAGCATGGATCCAGACCAGCCTGCGCATCCGCGCATTCTGATCAGGAGCCATGCTGTTCGCTTACAAACTCTATAACAAGTAGAGAAACTGATAGCGAACATCATGGATCCTGATCAGACTGCGCAGATGCGCAGGCTGGTCTGGATCCATGCTGGTTGCAAACCCATTATGTTGGTTTTGTCGAGACGCGGCTCAAATATTTCAGAATGATAAGTAAATTACTAGAAATTTGATAAGTTGAACAGTTTACCAATTATTTCCATAAAGAGTATTGTTTTATTTTGTTTGTTTTATTTTTGAATTAGATAATATGATATGATTTGATCGATTTTGACAGACTTTAACAACATTTGGTAAATACTATTGGTTGAAATTTGATAATACCATATAATGTTGCAACTTACTTGAAGACCGGGGCATATTTGATTATTTGCAGAAACCAAACTAAATACGTCACAGCATATATATACCAGTGAGTTTGCTCATGTATATAACGCACAGGCAACAACAGAATCAACATAACTGGTGATGTAATCTCAACAATATTCATTTTGTCCACAAGATACTCCTTTTTCAGCCTGAATATATCACAAAAATGCTACTATGATACTATCGCAATATTCAAACAAGAAGATAAATTAATTTATGTGTTAAAAAGATATGTGCACCAAGGTTAACGATTTATTGTTACAACGGTAAATGATACTTATAACCCCTAAACGATATTCTTGAAACTTAATGTTTACTATTTTGACACTTATTAAAATGTATTTGTTTTTGGTAGTACATGTAATTTAATTTTAATAATACTTTTAAAAAGCTAGAATTTAATGTAACCGTTTCACTTCATACCCTTTAAAAATTACTTATAAATGATATAATGATAGAGAATTGTTTAAATTCTTTCTATAATACAAATAGTTAGAGGATAAAATAAAAAACTAATCACACCTGATAATTTGATAAATTTCAATTTCTAAAATGCGAGCAGCATTTAGAAGCAGAAAGATTTCAAAGATTGCCCGTGTATAGTCAAGAGGCGACTGGTAAACAACAACGTTTGGAGCATTGACACTTGTTACAGCAACAAAAGTCAGACACACAATGCTAGTAAGGTACATAATAGCGTCTGTACTGAAAAAATGCCATGAATGAAAAGCGGATAATATGTCATTAACTTAAACTTATTTCATAACATTCATATCCTTACCTAAATACTGCAAATATAAACATGTTTTTCCTACAAGCGGGTAGCGGCTCGGAAACACGATTTTACTGTGGCTTAGATTTAATTTATAAGAATGAAACATACTGTTATGTAAGATTAAATATAATTCTAAAGTTTCTTCGCATATAACCACACTAAATCTTTACATACACAAAAGCACGACTGCACCAGTCTTCCCATTTTGCCTTTGTCAAAGCCTGATAAGCTTTGCTGCATACAGCGTCCTTTGAAAAGAGACAAACATAATTATAACTAGAGCACTAGCAACCTTGACCTTTTGAAACATACTCGTATGAGGTCTGAAGCGAAATTTGAACTCAATATATAATTTATGATGGTTCATCTATGTACCAATGATTTTTACAATAAATTGTCTATCTTCCAGAGACCATTTTTCCATTTTAACGATTCGTGACATTGACCTTGAACCTAGGTGGTTCAATAACAATCTCAAGCTAGGGGTTTTCATAAGTTTGCTTCATCATTCCTAACTCTTAGTCCAGTCAATTTGTGAAAAGATACTTCAGAAAATGGGAAAAGCACCAAATTTGGTACAAATGAACTTTGACATATTTAAGAAAAATTGAGCATGGGACCCATTTTAGAAAATCAAATATGGCGGGAAAAATCCAAAATGGCCGCCATACGTGTTAAAAATTTCAAAAACGCTTGTTTTTACTAAGAGAACTTGATAGATAGCTACATATTAGGGTATTGTAATCAGAAAAATAGTTGTTATTAGTATTTAAACATTGCTTTGTCTTTTTAAAGCTATTACACTTAACATATTTCATTATTTCTGTTTGTCATTAGTTTTCACGACCCTGGAAATCCGATGAAATAAAATAGTGTAGAGGTTTGTCATCGCTGTCTTCGAAAGATGTTAAGACATCATTTTTTACAACATTCTTTTTGGTTTACAATGTTAATTTATCACAAGGAAATACTTATCAAACAGATTAAACAAAAGTATTAAAAAATTCTAGCTTAACTCAAGCAAACGTAAATTAAATATCTGCCCATCAAGTCAGGTGCACGCCTTGCAATTTTATCTTGTTGATAGCTGTGAAAGGTATTTAGCAAAGAAGGTGTGAATGACAGAATTATAAGCTAACATGTGTCAAATTTTAACAGTCATTTGGTATTTGAATTGTCATATAAAAATATGAAACTTTATAAAAGAAAAAAAACGAAAACCTGGCAGACATATATAATGAACATTTTGTCAAAGTAGAGATGTAGATGTTATCTATGTCTCTGGACTCAAAGTATGCGTTACTGAAAATTAATTCATTCTAAACTATCGCTTTTCTTCATATGAAGTACATGACTGTCCATTTGTTGTATAAAAATGGAATGCTGATTTTGTAGAAATTTGCAGTTTACAGACTCAGATTTTGACACACCTTTGATGAAATAACTGCTTTTAAACACTACACATTGGTTTTCGATTGATAAACTACTAACTTGACACCAACTTTCAAGACTAATCTAGTTAGAAGTTACACTAACTCATTATTGTAAATAACATCAATTTTTTTTACCTTCGGGTTGTATCAAAAGTTGATATGATACCCCTCTACCTTCTTTAATGCCACCCCTCACCCCCCAATTATATGTCAAATTCCATTTTGGTGTCCCTAAGAGTGCCCTGTGCCACAAAATATTACATTTAGTTGCTGGGTTTCATGCTTTTTGGCCTCCGTTTGCAATCATGTTTTCCAAAATTCCAAAAGGCATGGTCTTACAAGTTTTTATTTTAGACATTACAAAGTCAATAGCCTTTTATATGAAGACTTGGCATTTCCGCGCTTTAATCAGATCAAGGAAAACAATGGACAAACGTGCTAGATAATTTGCCATATCTTGGCACTGTTTTTCTTCTGAGGGCCTCACATGTTTGTAAGATTCAAGATTCGTCACCAAGTCTAAGGTTTAGAACAAATGGGACATTGAAAATAATATGAGTACGCCTTGCTGCCCATAAAACATCAGATACCTAGGGTATTTCTCTCTTAATGCTGACAGCTCTTGATACAGACTTTGTGATGAATGTGTTGTTTGATATTATTTAGAGTCTCAGTCAGCATTTTGTGCTGGGTTTTGTTGTTATAGTTCAGCAGTTTCCAGACTTGACAACAAATTCCAAATTTTCGTTGACATGATTAAACAAGACAAGAGTAAAGAGTAAAGTATATCGATTTTCATCATCAAGATCAAGAACGTAAATTCCAAAATAGGCTATAAAAGCAGGTGTTGTTCCTTTGTGACAGATTTGATATGACATGTGCAATTCTTTTTATGATATGTGACGTAATTACGAACAATTCCATAGAACGAGAATGATGGTTGAGATTTGGTACAGTTTCGAAGCTCAAATAGGATATAAACATAATGGTTATCTTGTTTGCAGCTAGAAATCCCAAAGAGCAACTTTACAAAGATAAAAAGAGGCATAGCTCCAAGATATCTAAATAGCAATCCAAAGCTGCATCGTAATATAAGCTACCCACAGAGCGAGTTTAGAGTCAATAGGTGAAAGCAAACTCAAATTATTATTTGAAAACTGAGTTTCTTTTTTAAGCGACAGTAATCGTGATCATGAGCACACACACCTTAGTAGCAATACAAAGTTGCATCTTTAAATAAGCTACCCATATACTAAATTTGATGTTAATAGGCCGAAGCAAACTCAAGTGATTGAGCGGAAACTGAATTTCTATTTTTGTGTAACAGTGACCTTGACCTTAATCACTGACACCAAGGTAGCAACCCCAAGATGCCTCTTAAAAGCTACCCATACACCAAGTTTGTTGTCAATAGGCCAAAGCAAATTAGAGCTATTGGGCGAAAACTGAATTTCTATTTTTAGCAGCAGTAACTTTGATCACAAACACCTTGTGCAATCCCAAGAAGTTGCCTCTTGATATAAGCTACCCACACACACAAAGTTTAGTGTCTATAGGCAAAAGCAAACTCAAGTTGAGCGGAAACCAAAAGTTGCCGTCGGCTCACCTGCCCGCCTGGCATAACAACTACCGGTTTTCGTTGAAACCTGATTAAAACATTTATGTGACTTTAGGGTGGGGGCTGCGTTCATTGAACGCCTTTCCTTGATGATCTATCATATTTTAACGATTTCAGGACTGCATTCCATGAACGTTGGTCTCTGTTGTATTCATAGTTTGAGATTTCTGTGATTGATTAAGCATGTTAAGTCACGGTTGTTATTGTTATCAAGTCTAAGGCTGTCAATCCTTTCAGGACTATGTTTAACAAAAACTTCAGATAAAGTCTTACCTCAGATAGACTTCCGTCAACTAGAGAGATACTTGATATCATTATAATACATGAAATAGGACACTCAGCATCACCCATAGAAATTCAATATGCATAGAGCTTGCAAAGTGCAACACTACACACTTTTTAAATATCTTCGTAACTAAGATTTAATATTGAACGTAAATGATGATTTTTTTAAAAAAAAAATTAAGGAATACGCAGGCAAATTAATGACAATACCAAAATTATCTTATGTACTCAAATCACGCTAAAATGACATTTGTAAAAGTCCAATCATGAATTTCGGTATCAATTCTATTTATTTTGAGTTTGAAGCGTAAATATAAACGAAATTTAGCCGCCAACAGAATCACCGATGACTGTCAAGTGTACCGGTATATATTTTGAGCATTTACAGATTAATGAATGAAAAATTCAAAATGAAAATGTTGCCTATGTTCCCCTTTAAAAACATGAAAATAAATATTTGGGTTACATCTTTAAGGTTGCAATCACTCTCAAATTGAATTATGAATAACCCAACATGAAAGTGGTGTTACATTTAATAGATCTGAGAACTCAATGCCTACAGGACCGTGTGTGTATTCTATGCCTTTTGAGGGTCAATCCACCCTTTCAGGCACTATATAGTACCTTGGATACATACGCTTTTGTTCTTTCATTTTCATAGTATCATAAGATTTGTTTAACATGGAATTTAGGTTATATTTGGTGCTAGCAAAAAATTGTTGATTAAGCTGAAGGAAATATAAATACTTCCAGCTTTCCTTGCATTTACAGGGATGGAATGTGTTAAGACATCCTATTCTGTTTGTAAATTATGTAAATTCAGACATTACAATTTGAATACTTCTTATATGGTAAATTGCTCACAATATACACATAAAGCATTTTAAGGCATTATATTTCATAGTTATTTGACATGATCGTCTACTTAGGATTACAACAAATAAATTGAATATGAGAAAATAATAAAAACATATTTCAAAGTACTGAAATAGACTGTTTTGTAATTTCAGTAACTTGTTACCATAGAAACAGAAACAATTAATAACATTATAATTCTAACTAGTATCTTTAATTATTAGTAATGTAAATCTCTCAGAATGTTAAGTGCAAACTGGGGTTATTTCCAGTATAACTGTAAGTATAAATAGCCTCTACTGGAAAAGAATGGTGATAATTCCATGTAATTGCGGCCATTTAAAAAAAAATGGTTGCCATGGCAACCATCTTGGCATATATAAAATGGGTCCCATGCCCAAAATGTTTCTTTTGCCTTTATGAACATCTGTGCCAAGTTTCATGCTTTTCCCATTTTCTGAAGTATTTTAGCATATTTTGTTACAAATTGACTTGGCAAGGACTCTACATACGCTTGCTTTATATCACATTTGATAACAATATCTCATTGCTAACTCTTTTTATTATATAGAAACCAATTTTTTATTCTTAATAATAGTGACCTTGACATCAGGGGGTCCAAAAGCAATCCCAACCAGGGTCTTTATATAAGCTTGCTATATACAAGTCTTATTACAATTACTCATTCCTAAATCTTGTTATTGTCCGGGAAACTTTTTTTCTATTTCAA